TGGGATTAAAGGCATGCGCCACCACCGCCCCCCCCCTTTTTTTTTAAATAACCCACCAAGTCAAATTTGTGGTACCCATATACTCATGAATGTGGGCCTATCCACTGGAACATGGTCAACACATTAAAGAAAACTGACTCTTTGTTCCCCTGGAAGCCATCAATTGTCAATAGCTTGGTTTCGGTTGGGGTTCTCGAGCTCCTTCCCCTTCCAAGCTAGCCAGTGTTGTGGCTCTAAAAGACACTGCTTTGCTATGGTCCACCCTGACTTCTGTTATCATGATCCTTCTGCCCCCTTTCCATAATAGTCCCTGAGCTGTGGTCTCTCTGTTTCTCTCTCTGTCTCTCTCTATCTGTCTCTGTCTGTCTCTGTCTCTGTCTCCATCTCATGTATGTGTTATTAGTGGTATATAACCCTCATGGAAGATCAGGGAGTAAGCCACATTTTTAAGTAGCATCACCAAATTTCAGCTTTTGGGAGAAATTTCTATGGAATTGTTTAGTTTCCAAGAAAAAAAAAATTCAGTTTGACTTTTGAGTGTGAGAAAGCATTGAGCCAACTAATCACAGCATTCTGAAACAAAAAAGTTTACCGTGAAGCAAGAAGTTTGAGGGCCAGATTTACACATGTTTTTGCTTTGAGTCACATACCTTAAACTTGTGTCCCATTGTAGGTAACATTCCTGCTCAATTTCCTCAAGTAAACACTGTCTTCTCTAGAAGGAGGACTGAGGGGCCTTGTGCATCAAGAGAGGTGGAGAGTGGGATAATTACACGCACTTTCTACAAGGCCACTTGTTTCTGTCATATGACTCACAGGGCTATCAAAATACCTAAACAGGGCTTAAGATATCTGCCTCTCAGGCCTCTCTTTCTTAGGGTTAGAGTCCTGTAAGTATCGGTTTCTTTATTTTGTAAGCTAATATGACTACCATTTTAGTTCATGCTCTCCTATAAAATAATTAAAAAATAGCCATCTACTGTTACCTTTTCCCACTTTCCATGCCTATGGGTAAATATAGCTATTTTTTAAAAAAACGTTTTCTACATTGTTTTAATTTTTAGAGTTTGGGAAGGGAGAGGAGTTAAACACACAGTTGATGGGTGTGTTTAACTCCATGTTTTCCTATTGATTTTCAAGTGAAGAGACTGAAATTAGAAATGATCAGCATATATGAACACCTGCTGTATACTGGATGGCTGAAGATGGGCCTTAGAATCAGCGATCTGTGTTGCTATGTGCTACATGATTCATGGGTACAACTGGAGTTGGATGCCTGTTTCTATGGTGAAGAACAGCCAGGGATCCACACATGACATGCTCTGAGTACTTGGAGACCAGAATAACTTTCCAATTATTTGACATTTAAACTACAGGCTATATATAAAAATTATTCTTCTGAGTGTCTTTTTTTTCTTCTCAAGACAGCATGTTTAGATGATTGCTATGATTCATAAAACAGTCAAGAGTTGAGAGATGAGCTATGATCAAATGCCAAAGAAAGCTTGAAGAAATTCACTTCTCCTAGCTGTTTTTGACATATTTTAGAGTCTCCATCATATGAACAGTTATTTTTAGGGAAAATGAGCAGAATTGCTTAAACAGTTTGGTGCAAATTTTAGATTATAGAATAAGGGTAACATTGCATAGGCTTAGGAAAGAAGTGATATTTTGAAGTCTATAAGGAGGTACAAGCTATAAACCTTTGATCCCAGAACTTGGGATGTAGAGGTGGTATAAGCATCAGAGATTCAAGGCCATCTACAACATTTGGAATTTGAAGCCAGCCCAGTGCTACATAAGACCTTGACTCAGTACCATCTTCTCTCTACCACAAAAAGGATACACAATTTACAAGCAAAACATATGTTAAGTATATATTTCTATAAGAGAAATAATTTCTGATCAAATCAGTTAACATATGCTGTTGTTATGTTTTGGGTGAGAATTAGGATTATTGCCAGAATTCTATCAGGCAATGTAATTTGTTACAAAGAATAATATTTCTTAACTGAATAAGTTAAAAACACAGAGATACTGCCTCACTGAACCCACAGTTTCAGGTATAATCATATATCATAATATGCAGAAATTTTTTATTGATTTAGTAATTTAAATTACTGTACTTAATGCTTATTATTTAATAATTATTGTGATTTACTTTTAAATAAACAAAACCATCTCTTGCCTTTGTTACATTTTGTAAGAATATGTTTTATGTATGTGCATTTCTAGATACTTAAACTATTTTATTTATATCATATCCTATCACAAGGCCTGCACAGGTTCAAGCCAGATGAGGTCCCAGCACTGAGAGAGGGAAGTGACCATGGACTCACAGTCCTAACAAAGAAGCTATCTGCAATTAACACCTTCTGGTAAGGGAAAAATTATTTTCTCCAGTTGAGTCTCACTGGGTATACTAAACACACCTTTGGGCAGGCCCCATGTCCTGGAATAGTTGACGACACAAAACAAACTCAATCATATTTTTGTTTCAATTTGCTTTTTAGGAATTTTTTTTGTCTTATCAGTATTTTGCTTGTTTATTTTGACTTTTTTTTGTGTGTGTGTTTCTTGGTTTTTGTTTTGCTTATTTGAGAGAGAGAGAGAGGGAGGAATGTAAATTTGGGTGGGGAGGATCTGGGGATGAGGAAAACATGACAAAAATATATCTTATAAAAACATAAAAATCTTAAAAATATAAAAATGAAATTAAAAAACTGCCCAAAGTACACCCCTAGGTAACCAGCCCTTTCTTACTGTAGTCTCTATGAAAAGAGACCCCAGACTGAGGCAGGTACCAGGCAGGTACCTTGAGTGTTCACACTCATGTTATCTGCTGTCAAGACTGATTGCCGTCTGAATGTGTTCAGTTTGCCTTGTTCCCACAGCCTCTATACAAGGATGATTATATTGTAGTCAAAGTAACTGAAAATTAACAATTTTGATATCTACCACATAACAATCTCCTAGAGCAATGTGCTTCAAAGCCTACACAGAACAATAATGGGAAGGAGGCTGGTTTTTGCACTGTACACATAGGCAAAGTTCAATTTGTACCTTGTTTTATATTTTGAAGAGTTTAATATTAGTAGCCCTATAACTTGGTTATAGGTTGGAAGATGCTTGGTTTGCAAGAAAGTGGGTAGTGCTTGTCAGAATCATCCTGACAAGGATGCGGAACTGTGGTTCTAACACTCACAGCTTGGTTTGTCTTCCTCAATAAAACAACTGAAGACTTTGTAAGATCTCTGAATGGCATTCCTCATCACTGTGATGTTGAAAGACTTAAGACAAAGAACATATTTGAACTATGAATCCAATGAAATTGAATGACGTATATTTGTCAATTATTTAACTAAAATTGTTTTGGCGTATAACGGGAAAGACAACGTCTTTGGGATGTAGTTGAGAGTAGAACTGTTAGGATTTGGTTGAACAGAAGATGGTAATGGGAAGGAATGTATTAAAGGCAGCTGGAACTTTTCTTCAGCAGATATGGTGGGCATGGGACTTTGCTATGACTATGAGGAAAACACAAATTTGGGCATAGAAATCATACCAGGAAGTATATTTTAAAACTATGAAATCTGAGATAATTATAGATGTTTAAGCAGAGATATAAATCAACAAGGCAATATTATTGAGCTCAGACAGCTAGGGAGAGGAGAGGACTGGAGATTTGAAAATCACATAAGGGAGGCTGGAGAAACATCTAGGAGGCAGAGAGCACTTGATGCTGTTTTAGAGGACCTAAGTTCAGTTCCCAGTGGCCACATGGCATTTTATATCTGTCCATAACTTTCAGGGATCCCACACCTTGTTCTGACCTTCATGGTCACCAGGAATACATACATTGCACATACATACTTACAGGCAAACACTCATACATATAAAAATAAAATAAATGAATCTAATTTTTTTAAAAATCACCTAAGCATGGACTGGGGAGATGGCCCATTCAATAAAGTACTAACCATAGCTAACTATACAAGCATGGAAAGAATCTGTGTTTAGATCCTAGTACACAAACTCTCTCTCCCTCTCCCTCTCCCTCTCCCTCCCCCCCCCTCTCTCTCACACACACACACACATACACACACACTTCTAAGAGTTCTTTTGCTTGTAATTCAAAGATTGGGAGGGTGGAGACAGGAGGATCCCTGAGGTTTACTGGACTATCTAATTGAATCAGTGGCCTCCAGGTTCAGCAAGAGACTCTGTCAGACTCTGTCTCTAAAAAGTATGGTGGAAAGCAATTAAAGAGGACACTGGACACCACCCCTATCCCCTATACTTATACATGTATGCACACCATATATGCATGCACACATACCTGTATACACATACCACACACACATTTACATGCAATGCAGCGAAAGCTGTGCAGCATCGTAAATGTATCTTCCATAGTTTTCCATTCCATTTTCATAACTGACCTAGCTATAAGAATTCTAAGCCAAAGCACTGTGCTCCAATATTAAAGAAATATTAAAATCTAGTGTGATGTCCTACCAGAGAAGGTGGAGTGCACCCAGCAGACACCAAACTAGAGAGAAACCAGTAGGTTCTGCACTTGGATGTCTGATTTTGGCTGCTTAAGTACAGCAGGGTTTCTCAGTCTTCTGGGTTTGGTGTTTCACACAGTAGAACGAGAAGGTTCTGTTTACTTCCACTCACCTTCTCTATGAAGTTGACTGTGGAGGTGGTAACATTTGAACAAACAACAAGCTAAATCATAAGCACTGTGAGAAGACAGCTTGTTCTAAGAACTCTGATTTATACTATGTAAACACTCTTTAAAACATGCTTCAGATGAGAAACAAAGAGAAAAATACAAACAGTACAAATTCAGCTTCAAAGTTTGGAGGTGGATTTTTAAAGTAGTGGAACTCTAGTGCTAAATCACATGGACAAAGATTTCTTTTTCTAACCTTTATTTTCATATTTTTAATTTACATATATGCACGTTTCTTTCTGTGTGTATGTGTACACCATGTGTATGCTCAGGCATCTGTGAAGGAGAAAAAAAGATGGTGTCATATTCCCCGGAGCTAGAGTTACAGGTGGTTGTGAGCCAATTGAGGTGGGTGATGGAAACTAAACTCAGATCCTGTGCAAGAGCAGCAATTGCCCTTAGCCATTGGACCACCTCTCCCTTCTAACATCCACTTCAAATTCTCTTTTTCCTCTATAGATAAAATTAGATCATTTGCTTACTTCAGTGAATTCTGAACTCAATTATTCTTCTGCCTATTGAACACCTGTGGTGGTAGAAGCTCTTCATAAGGACCTTACAGTACAGTGTATGATAAAAGTTACATGCTATATGTGTTCATGAGGTCCATGTGCCTTTGAGGAAGCCAGGAGGCACATGGTAAATGAGGAGGATGAAAACCAAGATGCAGAAAAAGTTTTTAAAGAATATCGCCCTGGAAAACTCAAACTGAGTTTTGAAGAAATAGAAAGGCAAAGGAGAGAAGATGAAAAAAGAAAAGCAGAGGAGGAGGCCTGAAGGAGAATCGAGGAAGAGAAGGCGGCATTTGCTGAAGCAAGGAGAAGCATGGTATTAGATGATGATTCTCCACAGATATATAAAACAGTTTCTCAAAAATCTTTGATGCCTGGAAAACTGGAGATTAATTTTGAAGAATTATTAAAACAAAAAATGGAAGAAGAAAGACGACGAATGGAGGAGGAATGGAGGCATAAACTAGAAATGGAGAAACAGGGATTTGAGCAACTGAGACAAGAAATGGGAGAGGAAGAAGAAGAAAATGAAAGTTTTGGATTGAGTAGAGAATATGAAGAATTAATCAAATTAAAAAGAAGTGGTTCTATTCAAGCAAAAAGTCTAAAAAGCAAGTTTGAAAAAATTGGACAGTTGTCTGAAAAAGAAATACAGAAAAAGATAGAAGAAGAACGAGCAAAGAGGAGAGCAATTGACCTTGAAATTAAAGAGCGAGAAGCAGAAAACTTCCACGAGGAAGATGATGTTGATGTAAAGCCTGCAAAAAAAAGCGAATCCCTCTTTACTCATAAAGTGAACATGAAAGCCAGATTTGAACAAATGGCTAAGGCAAGAAAAGAGGAAGAACAACGGAGAATAGAAGAACAGAAGTTACTA